ATAAAAGAATAATGATAATAAATTTATATTAATGCTTGCGGTACACCACGTAGATAGTTATGAAAAGAACTGTTGTTGATTGAGAATGTCTCTACGTTTGATTGACTTACTTCAATCGATTCAGGAGAATAATATCTGCAGAAATTTCAAAAGAGGGAAATAATGAGGGTGAGTAATGAATTTCTTAAATTATCAAAAACATACCTCGGTTTCGAAAAACCGCACATAGAATGTAATTCTACGTGCATTGTGCACGCGCACGTAGTAATAGCACTCATGATCATTATCATAGACATCCGGGTAGTTAGGACTTGTAATAGACCCGGTATCTCCAAATTGGTTGTATCCACAGTTTTGACCTGTGTGAAAAAGGGCGAATTGCTGTATTAACGCATTTAATTAAAAGTTATATGTACAATGTTTTACATTTTATTAAAGATGCAAGACGTGTAACTCTTGTCTGACTGTGCGCATACTATTGAAATCCTTTATATTTATCCCGGTTGAATCAAGCACTTTGGATATTTTGGAGTATTTTTGGTGCGAATCACACTAAGGATTGTCTTTTGGTGTATCACGCAATTCACCCACAGAAAGTACACTAGTATTAGGAAGGTTTAAAGTCAGGCTCCGGAGAATTGGAAAAATATAATAAGCCTATCATTATTAATGAACATGCGCATACTTACGAGGAGGAATTGCCTTGCTACAGTTTCGTCCTTGCCATCTGAAGGTACACTGACAGGTATATGTACTACCTATCTGTCCACCAATACACGTTCCTCCATTTGCACATGGGGACTCTCCGTTTTGACAAACTTTAAAAAAAAAACCAAACATTTAAAGTATTAGATTAAACGCATTGCTATATACTGTGTTAAGTTGATAACTTGTTGAACTGACTATAACAGTCACAACAGACTGTTTCATACTAGTGCATCGTCCGGATCGAGTGACAGGTAGTTGTATAAATAAATCGTCATAATTAGTTATATAATGAGCAAGAAATAGAATTGAATTAAATTAAATAAATCTATGATAGAACACTTATAAAATGTATTTAATTAAAACTAAAACTATGATACCTATAAAAAGGAAATAACTAATGTAGGCCTATATAACGAAGTGATAATCAAAATCGAGTGAGTTGCTTTTGAGTTAATTTGAAAAATTGTACATCCAATAGTTATAGGCCTAGTTTTTTTTTTCATTAACAAAATAATACTATAACTGTACGTATGCCTACCTTGTGAATTTACGATACCAACAAAAACTATAATTATTGCAAAAGCAACTCTGTAAATATACGACATGGTAGGTAAACTCATGATTCCACAGTGACATGGAGCAAGATCATTGATGTACATAATACCAGATACTTAAAGACATGTATTGCAGCACCTATAGAATTTATATACATTTGCTCTATTAATCTAATAATCCAATCGTATTCATTAAACGATACGCATGATCTCCGTCAAAACAACAGATTTAATTGCTTCGAGTAAACAAATCGGAAATAACTAGAATGAAATGGTGTTGATAATATTATTTTGAATTCCTGGGCATCAATTTGGAGGTTGATAGATAACGTTTCAACGCATTTAAGTGGGTTAAATCGTCACATTTTACCTTGGCAATAAGCCTTTAAGATATAAATGCGTGACGTCGATTAGGCAAAATAAACAAACATAGTTTTTATGTCGCCATCACAGTTGATGGAAGTAGATTTAGGCTTGTTGTCTTAACATGTCTAAATATGGTCATGATGACAATACATCAAGACCATGTATAGGCACATCATGACTATATATGGTCATACAACAGTTTTTTTGTCAAAGAAAATTTATAAAGGTAGGTAATTTCAACTAACGTTAAATAGTATTTTTCAACGATTTTTATTTCGTGGATATGTTTTATCAGA